AAGTTTTTGCCTTTTTGGCTGCCTTGCAGCACCTCTGCACGGGGCTTCAAGCTTCCATTATTTGTTTGTGCCACTTTCCACACCCTTTCCATGAAGCCCATGTGAGAGTTTGTCACTAAGAACAAGCCCCAGTGTCAGCATTTGCCATAAAAATGTTAACAAGAAAATAAACCAAAGGAAAACTTCCATGTGAGTCCAGGAAAGCCAGGATTTTTTCCACGAGCAGCACTAGTTGGCTGCCAGGGGTTCTGTGGTTCAGATCCCAGAAAAAAAAAACACGTTGGGGTTTTGTAGTGTAGAGTGAAAAACAAATGCAAGGGTTTGGCCTGGAAATAACAGGATGCTGTGCACTGAAAAATTAACAGATTATTAATCAGAACATAATATTTGTTCATACATTGGCTCATTAATTATTAGCAGACAGCAATGGGATGGGAATCCATAGATTTCAGTACAGTTCAGGATGTAAAGTCAACCCCAAATCTCCTTAGTCACTGCAGCCACTCATTTCACTCTTTGTTGTCATGTCAGAATTCAGGATTCCACTCCCAATCCTTAAAAACCAAAGAGGAAAGACTCACCTGAGCACACCTCCTTGTAGGTAGGGTTTGGGGTATGTCCTCCTGCATAACCCACTTGAGTGGAGTAGACTCCCTTCTGCCTCCAGAACTTCCTCTCAGCTCCCCAGAAGCAGCCCATACCTGAAGAGGCCACAAAATACACATTGCAAGGTCAAAATCTGCCAATACTCAATCACTCATTTGCATATTAATTGATCCAGGGCATAGTGGAAGGAACATCCACAGGCAGCACCTGCTGGTCAAGTGTTTTCCAAGTTTATTTATAGGATAACTATAACGAGAAATCCATTCTGCACCAGAGCACGACTCAAACACAGCTTGATTTATGCTTCTGAATATCCATTTATCACAGAGGGCAAACCTTGGAAGGGTTTGAAGGCCCAAACAAGGAGAATTCTCATGCACACACCAAAAAAAAAAAGTTCCTTACAAGGCAATTGTGCTGTTTGTGCAGCACCATTTTTACCTGAGCTGATTAGGAAGCTGTCAAAACACAATAATTTGTATTAATGGCAAACAGTAATTTAATTTTCTGCTTTCAGGCAGAGGTGGCAGCAATAATGGATTATATTATATGTTATATAAAGGGAAAAAATGCTTCAGTTTAACAATTTATGCACAGAGATATTTGATGTTCAGACAAGATTTTTGTAGTCATTCACCCCCATGGCCAATTCTCAAAGGACATCAGACTGTTTAAGGGTGTAAATTAAAACCTCTCCTGGTTAAGGGAATTAAGGAACAAACACCACCATCACTGCCAATTGTCGGGTGGCTTAGTTAAATAAAGGTTTAAGGGACTATTTATTAAAGTATTTATTTAGAATGTCGTGGAGATTCCAGCATTGTCAAGCTGCAGCAATGAATTTTCCTTTTCAATTATAACATCCTGTTATTATTCCCTTTCTAAAACAGCTGGAATAAAGGCAGTAAAAATAAACTAAATATTAAATACACTTTTTCTATATACACAGAAATCAGTGATCCATGAGAGTTTTCTCCTGGTTACACTGCAGATATGACAGGTTAAAAAGTCACAGAAATGATCCTTCAAAGCCAAACCAGAGGAACAGAACAGCCCCTCCTCCAACCTTGATGGCTCATGATGTTCTTTCTTTGAACCTTCAGAGATTGACTTCAAATTTAAGTTTTAACTAAAAGTACAGAACTGGGATTTCTAATTCAGGTGCTTAAGCAAGCTGCTGGAATTAAGAGGCAAAACTGCTCCTGGAGGTTCTGGAAAGAGGCTGGAACCTCCTGAGGGCAATTCCTGCAGGAAATATAAACTGATGATGAAATTGCAGTTATTGTCCCTTGATTACAGAGATAACCAGAGCTCTTGGACTTGGCTTCCTCACCTAAATCAGGCTGGTGGCTCCAAACCCATCCAACCTGGCCTTGGACACTTCCAGGGATCCAGGGGCAGCCACAGCTTCTCTGGGAAACCTCTGCCAGTGACCACCCTCAAAGCCAGGAATTCCTTCCCAATATCCCATCCATCCCTGCCCTCTTTCAGCTCAAAACCATTCCCTGTGTCCTGTCCCTCCATCCCTTGTCCCCAGTCCCTCTCCAGCTCTCCTGGAGCCCCTTTAGGCTCTG